AACATTTAATAGGTCATGCATGAAAATCAAGACGTTGCATGCACACGTCATATCTGTCACGAGGATTATTACACGGTTTGAATGACTGCATTTTTCTTCTTGTAAACATGACTAGCGCCAGTATTTGTCATTTTTTTCTACAGTTATTACCATTTTTCTTTGAAAATTAAACCATAGTAAAATATATTCCCAAAATTAATAAGCATCCCCAATACGTCGATTCACTAAAGCCCCCATCCTCTAAGAAACACACACACCACACACACACACACACACACACACACACACACAACACACACACCACACACACACACACACACACACACACACACACACACACAGACCCCCATCCCATCGCCGTATTTCGGGGCTCCGCTGCCAGACCATCCATATATATTTAATGAAATCTGTATGGCATGTCACACCTCTCGCAAACCATGACCAGTCACACTACCTTCTTACTTACACTCTGAATACCGAAGGCAACTACCGCGACAAGTCTTTCGTAGGCAATGTTTGCCAAGCGTATCAATGCGCCATACAGTGACGTCACACCAAAATATATAAATCGTTAAATGTGATTACATAGCAGATGAATTGGTTTGATTAGTGTAATATAATAGTAATTTATATTATTCATAGACAAAGTATGGTAAGAATACGTGAAATCACTCTTAAAATATTTTTCAACCGGTAGAATATTTTTCAACACTCGCACTACTTTCCAGAGCGCCATCTTATGAGTTGCATGGTTTGTTTACATTGACAGCCGATAAGCGAAGGAGACTTGATGTATCTTTAGTAAAATTCAGGAAGCTCAACGCATTAGGATTTTCTAAACACTACCAATCAGACGTCTTTGTTTTCAAAGATTCTGATTGGTTGGTGAGTGCGCTGCCAGGCGTACGAGAGAACATGGAAAAACTATCGGTAAGGACAGTCATAAACATTAGAGAGAGGGAGAGGTAGGGTGGATCGAGGGAGAAAGAGAGAGAGGTAGAGAGGTAGCTAAGAAAACTAAGATAAGAACAACACGCAAATCACGCGATTCATGCATTTAATATACATTGGCCTTTAAAATCAAATAAAACCTGATGACTATTGCACTATCATTCGTAATGTTTGGAAACACTGCTTTAAATGTATTGCAGAAAAGCAGTTATTACACTTCATTGTCATATGAAGATAATCGCGAAAGTAAGTTTTTAGTTTTTAAAGATACAGAATATTGATTTTTTAGTCCTATATTCCTAGCTCGTATCATTTATCTCTTAATTCAGCAGCAGTCACAGAAAACTTTGTAATTATTTACCTATTTATGTGTCATTTTCCCGCCCAGACTGAAAGACATGCGGTACCTTCTGACAATTATTAGTCTAAGACTACCTTCGTTTCGCTGGTAAATCAATAAAAGTTACCTCAAGTATGAAATAAAAAAATTGTAATTACAAGGAAGATATAGGAAAATTCAATTTCAATATATATCCAATAGACACCAGGGTTTTTAACCTGACACACAAGCTTTATTGCTTATGCACCTGGATGTTCCAGTATTATCAACATTATATTTTATTACTTACTCGTTCTTATCAACGGACTTCTGTGATCTGTAAAGAATTTTCAATGATAATCTATCTAAGTATATATATATATATATATATATATATATATAATATTAAGAATTGTATGTTAATATTTATACTAAGTCGGACTGAGGACTTGGAGTTTTGCTGGAAATTAACAGGGAATGTATTTTATGTAGTCTAGCAGGAAAAGAACCAAAAATCTTGGATACATTGATATTTTATGATGTGATCTCGGGTTATAATTATCACCTATATTCTCTAATGTATCACAAACATTTTAATTTTAAGCAATGCCTTAATTATCGACGCTATTGGTCCGAGGGCAATTAAAAATGAAGGGATTAGGTGACGTTTGGAGGGGCGGGGCTTAAAGTTATCTTCTCTATCCTGGGATTCCGAGAAAGCCTCGTCGAAGTCTGGCCACCAACAGCTTTTGATTGATCGAACCGGCCAGCTGACCATTATTTCGCGAGGCTATCTTGGGATCCCAGGACATAGAAGACTAGCTTGACCTTCGCTTCCGCTGACCTGACTTCGGCGAGGCTGTCTAGAGATCTCAGGACTTCTCAGACTTCTCTTGATTTATTATCCATTTTTTTTTATGTTATTTGCCATAACGGATCACTGATATGAAATATTTTTTTTTATTTCTTCGCACAATTTTACCATACATAGTCTACACCTTCATTTTCATACATAGTCTACACCTTCATTTGACATAACTCACCATTTCACGATTTTGTTACATTCCTCTTTTTGCAGCAACTCGTGTACATAATCCCAAGTAGATTTGGCTTACCGAAAATGGTTCATTTCTTGAGATGAATTAAAAGTGGAGAGGTCAGCCCTGTCAGTTACCTGTTTGAGTATATATATATGTATATATATATATATATATATATATATATATATATATATATATATATATATATATATATATATATATATTTATTAAAGGAATTTAACTCATAATGCACAAAAAAATGTTGGTGTCTCCTTCTGAAACAAGTTCAAATGAGTCAGAATTGGAAAAAAATGTACTTTAATAAGTTTAGGTATAAAAATACAAAAGGGTAATTGAGATATTTTAGAATAAGCCCTACACTTATTAACTTCTCATTTACTTCAATATTGATTGAGTATTGTTTGATGACATCCCATTGTTTTAGAATCCTCTGTACCGCGCTATTGAGAGACAACCAACGAGTCTGACATGGATGGAAAATTTTATGCGGTTTTACATCCAGCAAAGCCTGAAAATTGGTGTTTTCGTTTAATGCTGTGTGAAAAATGAGTATAAAAGTTTGTGATAACATCTTCACAATGTTTTTTTTTCCGCTTATGATGCGCAAAGATGGAGAGAATGACAACTACACTTGAATATCGTTATTCCTATAAATTTTATTTTTAATCTACTGCATTAGGAATTATGCTCTCCCATGATATTCGACGCTCCATGTGCAGCAGAATCAATTAAATCATTTCCAGGGATACTGTGGCTTCGTAGACTGTTACATATGATAATAAATAGTGACTGGCCAGGAGAACCAGTCATTTCAACATTTTTGTTAGGTCTAACTTTCAACGTTTTATGGTTGTCAGATCTCCAGATAAAGTTTTCTGACATTTTGTGCAGAAGGCCTTCGTTGGGTCATCTGCCATCTTCGCCAGCCAAGGCCTTCATCAACCACTCGTCTCTCTATTTACGTTTTGGAGCCATTATAAACTGAAAAATAAAACTAATTCAATATACAATAGGCTTGGCTAAGTTACTCGTTTTCTTTGAAACGCACACCATTTTCTATCGTCCTTCAATGTATAACTACTTCATTTTTGCTTGTATCGCAAAAGTTTACAGTTTCACAAAATTACACTTCTATAACACTTACTGGCGCTTGAGAAAGTGATAATGGTATTTCTTTTGCTTTAAACTCATTTGGAATTCGTAGGCCGTGCTGTCGCTATGAACGCAGTCAAAGAAATGACGGTGTTCCATAGTAGTTCCAGTACTTGTCAATCTTGTCAATGTTGCTTCTTTTTTATTAAAAAATATATATATTCTTGAATGTAAATGAGTCCGTCATACCCTGATATATTCAGTAAAATATATAAATTCTTTATTTTATTTTATGATCGCAAAACGAAAGCTGAATTTTTAGCGTAGAATATTATTCTACGCCATAAAAACGTCTCTTTTTGGGTTACAATACTTTACAAAGAACGTAAATACCGATAAAACTCGTATATTTTGATGCTCGCTTTTACTATTTGACAAATAGTTATAAGATTTTTTAATACTGCTTGAGTTTATAATTGTTTTGAACAGTGCATTAAGATGAAGAAAAATGTTCCTCGCGTAGTATCGCATTCCGCCATTTTTCCACGTCCTGGCCCAAAACTGTGTATAGTCTTTGCTCAAAATTCTACGAAACGACAACGCTGTCCCGAGCGCCTGGTTGCCAGACGAGTAACGCGCTCCTTTCCGCTGATTAAATGTCTGGGGTATTTAAATGCCCTCGCGCTGCCACACCCCTTTTGCTTCATGCTTTGTTTTTCTTGTATTCTCAGCGTTTTTTCGGCTGTTTTGGCGAATTTCTGTGGTATGAAACTGCTGATTGATAGCTTATGCTGCGTTTAACAGGCAGGCAGCAGCAGCCAAGGTCTACATAAGTACTTATATAGACCTTGGCAGCAGCAAGGAAGTGAGGACTCAGGACAGTACGATCGAAAAAGTAGTCGAAAGTATACATGCGTTGTTTTCAACCTGTTGCTAGTAGTTATCCGTGTTTGTGCCTTGGTTTCAATTATGTGGTGTGATATTGCCACGCGTAAGTGAGAAGAGGAAGGCAGCCAGTAAATTAGCGCGACTGAAATCACTGAAAAGGTGGAAGAAAGTCAGAGAACTTGAGCTGTGGTGGAGCTGCACACAGATTCGAATGACGCGCCTCAGCCACCTGCAGTCTCCTCTCCACCTAAGCTTAGTTCTTCGCCCGTATTGAAACAACTAGGTAAGAACACACACGCACATACACAAGCACACACACACACATATACATTTATACTGTATAAATGTATGTGAGTGAATAAAGAAATGTTTATCAGGCGTTGGGAATGGGAGAGCGAACTCGCCATCTTAGCAGGAATGTGATTTTTGACCTCCCCATTTTCTATTTAATCTGTTTTATCTTATGGTAAGAAATTGTGTAGATGGGCATTTGCAGATATGGTGTAAAAGTCGTGGTCAGGGCAAAACGTTTGAACTTCCCCTCGAGAGTTGGAGGGTCGAACTCGCCGCCGGGCCTGTCGGCGAATGGCGTGGCGCGTTACATTATCAGCCAATCAGCGCCTTGGTGTGACTGTGGGCCAATCACCGCATCGTTTACAGACCATCTCTCGGATCATGCGGCAGTGTTGTTGTTTTGGTCGTTGAGCGTGTGGTTTGTAGTTCATTTTTAGTTTCAAAGAGACATTTAACCTTGCAAATATTATTCATTGTTACAGTTATGTACATTGTAGCATGCGCGAATTTGTTGTTTTCAATTGTACGTGATATAAATGAGTTTTGGTAACTGGTAACGAAGTGAGGCACGTTTTGATGACTGGTAGCGAAGTGAGGCACGTTTTGGTATCTGGCTACGAAGTGAGGCACCCCTCTGACCTTGAGTCCCTATTACACCCAAGGTCTAAATGAGTAAGACCTTGTCACAAAACTACCCAAATTCGCCTGTCTCGCGCATGACGTCACTTGGGGGTAAAGCCTGGGGACTCATTGTTAACCATAGGGTCACTCTTGGATGGAATGTAGAACCATAGAGGTCTACTTCTTTCCTGTTTGGGCTGGCTTGACTGACTGGAAACCCGCAAAGCCGCAATGCCACGTAACTGTGCAGTGGTTGGATGTAGAAGTGGGAACCTCTCTAGGGATATTCTATACCACCGATTTCCAAAGGAGGAGGGAGCAAGGAAAGAGTGGGCCATTTTAAGTGGAAAGAAAAAGGTGAACTGTGAAACTGAAAGAATTTGCAGTCTGCATTTTGAAAAAACAGACTATGAGAGAAGGCTGAAATATGAAATGCTACATTTGCCAGTTCCTCGAAACATGAGAATTCTGAAGAAGGGTGCTATACCGTCGAAACTTATTCCACAAGTTAAAGGTAACAATCATAAAACAAATTATTGTTAAAAAAAAGAAAATGGAGTAGGAAAATTCTTGCATGAATATGGGGATGTGGTATTATTGTTATTATCATTATCACTATACATATGAATATGTGTATATATGATTATAGATAGATATAGAAGTATATATATATATATATTGTATATATATATATATATATATATATATATATATATATATATATATATATATATATATATATATATATATATATATATATATATATATATATATATGTATATATATATATATATATATATATATATATATATATATATATATATATATATATATATATATATATATATATATATATATATATATAATATATATATATATATATATATATGTATACATACATGTAAATATTTATATATGTATATGCATACATATATATACACATTATGTCTACATTTATATATCTATCTATCTATAGATATTTATATATATAAAATCTCTACTTGTCCTTGATTTCATGCTATGCGTGCTGTGATATGTTAGTTGTATGACTTGTCCTATAACAAATATGTCAAAAATATTTGGATTTTACATATGCCATGTCTTCTTTGTTTATTTTGCTTTGTTATAATACCATACCTAAGCTGCAGCATGAGAATTGCAAAACTGCATCCAAGTAAAATGTGCGATATAGACCTGAAAATAATTCCTGATAATCATTGCCTGTAAAAATCAGTCCAGTGTGCAAATTGTTCAATGTGCTGGTATCTAAAATTACTTAAGTGTTTGCTCATTTGCTACCGTTTTTTTTTTTCTTTCTTTCTTTTTTTTTTATCTCTGTGCCCAGCCTACCATTCTCTACTGTAATTCCCTACATGCTCTCAGTCCATACCCGTGTGACGTCATAGGCCTTGTGTGACGAAACCTTACTTACATAGGCCTTGACAGTTGTTAGAGAAAGAAATGAAAGTGTTTGGGAGTTATCTAAAATGTCTCACATTGTAATAAAGCAGGTGTTACACGTATGGTCGCTGTATCTGATTTCTCGTAGTTAGGCATACAGCACACATATACAAGAGTGGTATCATCTTCTCACGTTGAAATGCTGCAATCTTGTTTGTTTCACTATACATGTGCAGGACATCATTCAAAGGCTCCTCTTCTGTATTTGTAGTAAAGGTTATGATATTGGAATTGGATGTTGTATTATTGTTATTATTGTCATTAT